ATCCAGGCCATCTTTTTTATCTTGGAGATATATGAGATGTCTCGAAGCCCCACTTGTGAACGAAAAATATCTTGGAGATCGTCTTCATCAAATGTCAATAAGTGCCGTATAAGGCTGCTAATTTCAATGATTTGAGAAAGCTGAACAAATGGCAGGGACTGGCATTGCGCTAGAATCGTCTTACATTTATCGTTTCAATGAATATGATATTGCTGCAGTTAAGCTCAAAACTAAACAAAGCATAGAAATAAAAGTAAGTTTACCTCGCTCTCTTAACTTGGTCTTGTTGTTAGGGTGACATAGTAGAACGCACCTAGTCCGAAGTCATCTGCCATACTAGTTGTCATGATTCCCAGCATCAGATAGTGGACTTGGTACCTTCTCAAACGTTTCGCCGTAGTTAGTAGCATCAGTCAGTTTTGCCATTCTCCGCACCAAGCTACGAACTCGTCAAAGAGACAAGTGAAGGCAATCCCTCGACCAACGTTCTGCCGAAAACGGTTACACTATCACTCTTCTTTCTTTTGGTAGAACGTTGGTCGAGGAATTGACTTTACTTGTCTCTGTGACGAGTTAGTAGCTTGGTGTGGAGAATGGCAAAACTGACTGATGCTGCCGACTAGGCTGCCGGTTAAACGTTTGAGAATGTACCAAGTCCACTGTTTGATGATGGGAATTATGATAACTACAGTGGCAGAGGATCTCAGACATGGTGCATTCTACTAAGTCGCCCTGACAACAAGACCAAGTTGAGAGCACGAGGTCAAGTGACAGGAGACTGAGACCATACCGGAGGTCACATTATCTTGATCTTCACATCATAGAAATAAAATTTTTTGGCAGTACAATGAATGTAAAGAAGTTAAGCGATGCTTAATTTGCACTTAATTTAAAAAGTTAAGGATAGAGGATGCGCTGAGTCGCCTACCAAAATGAGGCAAACGGAGCTATGCTTAAAAAAGGCTCTTTAAATTGAGATGGATGTTATGCTCACTTATGATTACTTGAGGCTATTACTGTCCTACCTTTTCGCACTCATGAACACATCCTAACACACAAGCACACATATAAACACACAAGTACACATGAAGTAGCGTGCTCGAGGTTGATAAACGCCATAGACTGATAAAATCCATCCTCACCCTTAAAAATTCCCGTATACACCATGTAGGAATGAACTAGTGGAATTGCTGGGCTCTTTAACTTAAAGTCGTTGTTAAAATTGTACCAACCACTGGGGAATTCTGTCACATGGTAGAGGAAAGCTTAACAAACTATTATGGAGACTTTCATTCCGAGCTAAAATGCCTGATGAAGATATATTCGTAGGTTGATCTTACAAGAAGATTAAGACTGATATTCCCAATTTTCGTTTATACGCAGATTTTTGATACTCATATTTCTGATTTACTGGTAGTTTTAAAACGTACAAACGAAAAATGAGGAATTATTTTATTGCTATAGCAACTAAAATGTGAAGATATGGAGAACAAGATGGCCTGGTCTCTGGTATGGTTGCAGTCTCCGTTAGTTGAGGGATTGACTTCACTTGTCTCTTTGACGAGTTTGTAGCTTGGTGCGGAGAATGGCAAAACTCACTGATGATGCCGACAACGATGCCTGCCAACGTTTGAGAATGTACCAAGTCCACTGTCTGATGCTGGGAATTATGAAGACTACTAAGGCAGACGACTTCGGTCTAGGTGCGTTCTACTAAGTCTACCTGATAACAAGACCAAGTTCTGACAACAAGGTCAACTGACCACCATACATTTGCTTCATCGCAATCCCACCAGAGAATGTGATATGGAAAAATGCCTGGTCTTCCTTGGTATCCACATCTGTCCAGTGACTCAAGGGTCCTCGGGGCAGTGTGGCGTTGTGGTTGCATATCTGGATTATAATCTGCCCTACCATAACCCGAATTTGAATCCTGCTGGGGTGCGGATAGGATCTAGGTGAGGTAGAAACTGCGATCCACCCTGGATGAAAATACCTTTTTGGAAGACAAGACTATGCGAAATTCAATTGGAACGTCATTTCCAATCATATCATTGTATGAAAATGCAACCACTGATCCTTATCACCTTAAACCAAATAGGGTGATAATATCTCATATATCTGATATTTCAGTTGTTGTTGTTGTTGTTGTTTTGAAGTCGTTTGATTTTATTACGATCCCTTTGGTAAAGGCTGAACTGCGTTGAGCTTTCGTCCGTCATCTGACAGACATCGTCAGAGCTGAAGCTAATTCTGGCAAAGGCTTCAAGCTTTAATTAAGACCAAGCTTACGGGCATATAAATAAGCTTTCATATGAATATATGAAGACCAAGATGTTGTGGCCTCTGGTGTGGTCGCAGTCTCTTTTCGATGGATAGAAGCTTTCATATGGCCTAACAAATGCATTTAATTGTAGCTACGACGATTGGAATGGTCTCGTATTCTTTTGCTTTATAGAATTGATCGGTCACTATTTTCTCAACCTGTTTGCGATTTCATGGAGACGTCGAAGGTACTAACTAATTAGGCGTCATCTTCTATAATAGTCGGAATAATTACCAGGATCGGACCGTGGCTCCGTTTCATGCCCAGAAGTTTTCCCATGATAAAGCGACCAAGTTGCGAAAACGAGGTGAGATAAAGCCTAAATAACACCTGCTTTAAGCCTGAAAATTCATTTTTGTTGGTTGATTTTCCTGACCGTTGCTTTCTTGATCCTCTAGTGCAAGTCAATTGGCAGCACAGACAAACAGAAAAAGAGGGTATCGGTGGTCGTGTAGGCCTAGACGTGCCAGTAAAAAGAAGTGGCAGCATTCTACCATCGTCTTCTGATTCGATCGGTCTATGGATCTCCCCATCACTCATGCTGGGCAATAGCTCCGTCTTTTCACAAACCTCTTTGATAGCCTATAATACGGCAAGAACCATAGGGAGTCAAAATTAACAAGTATCACCTGAAATATACATTTATTTTACACATGGTTTCGCATCCATCTCCTTTCGGTACTCACATGGTAGAATTTTTGAGGTATAAATAAGTAGCCCAGCATGCCACCATTTGGTAGATATTATGATGTATCACATAGAGGCTCAGTCATCTACATTATGCTGCTTTCGAACCATGCTAAGACCCTATCAGTTGCACAAGTAAGGATGCACTTGATTGGACATTTCACCTTACTTCCATTTCGAGTGAAAGTGTTTGGTGAAGTCATTCGAAGGTTGATCCCACCAGAAGACGGTTGACCTTACTGAAATGTTCTTGCTGACGGAGATTGTCTTGGAAACAGCGTAAACGAGATTATTCCAGTAAAGCAAATCGACAGCTGCTCAATAAAAATCCGCAGTCGTTTTCTGGCGGGATCAACTCTCTAATCTCTTCACCAAAAACACCTTCCCTCTGAATGGAAGTAATCTGAATATTATGAGATGTATTCACTCTATTTCGTTGAAGGTGATGAAGGACTGGTAGTAGAGCTGACGTTTCCATTGAATTTCACAGAGTTGTTCTCATCCAGTGTGGACTGTAGTTTCGACCTCGCATCGGTCTTTTTTACGCCCCCAGCGAGAGTCGAACCGTGACACGTTAACCACTCGACCACATTGCCACGAGTGCCCATGGGCCACAGAACAGATTTGAATTTCAAGGAAGGGCAAGCCTTTTGCCATATCATATTCTTTGGTGAGATTGTCGATGAAGAAAATGTATATTTGCTATAATAATCGAATACGTTACTTATTTTTCATATGTAGGTAGAGTTTCGAGACTACCAGTAAATCATCATCTCCTTAAACGAAATAGAGTGAATATTACTGATGTACTGATGGTCTCGAAACTCTACTTAAA